TTTGTTTTTTATGTGAAAAAAAGTTTTAAATTAAACCTAATAATTTAAGAAAAGGAAATTAAATTGGTTAACCCTAATTCTAATTTGTTAAAAGAAAATAAAGTTCTTTAAGTATTATTTTTGTGTATTTTTATCTTAAAAATAATAAATAGTATTTATGAAATATTTTGGTCCTTTTATACATTAGAATAAATACTTACAAGTGTGAGAGAAAAGAAATAAATATTAACCTAATTCTATTTTATTTTACAAGTTTATTTAAGAAAAATAGTTAATATATAATTTAATAAAACTATTTTTTATGAGAAAATAAAATAAAATAAACAAAATATAATATTTATCATGTTTTATATTTTTTATAAGGAAAATATATTTAATAAAATGGAAATAAAAATAAAAATAAATAATAAAATGTATGGGTCAGGGGTGCTGTTAAGAAAAAAGAGGTGGATGTTAGAAAAAAAATGAGGCCCACTTGTGCTGAGCCCACGCTGCAAACAAGTCAAAAAAAGATGAAAAAATGTGAAAAAATGCAAAAAGGCAGCGTCAAGGCTCGAACCTGTGACCTTAAGAATTTTTACGCGCTGCCTTACCACTGGGGTGGTTGTACACCCGTTAGTTCAAATGAAAACAAAAATACATAACATGAATCCCTTTCTTGCCCTGTACTTCGTCTTCTTCGTCTAGCCAGCCGGACCACCCATATCTTTCTCATTTCTCCATGAAAATGGAAACTTCAAACATGAAAATGATAGTACTCTTTCCCACGATTTCAACCATGTAACTCATGTAAACTAACAGTTATAGATCAAAGCTAATTTCACTGGCCCTAATTTCAAACCTAATTTTTACAGAAAATTTGAAATATAAAATTACCTATACACAATGAATATAAATGAAATTTATGAACATGGTTGACTTTAGCACAGGGATATCTACATTTTATTTTCATAAATAGAGACCCAAGGATGCCTGTATGAAGAGATAGAAGTTAGAGTTCTTACCTCTTTCAGCTGAGATTGTGAATGGAATTTGAGTGAGTTCTGAGAAGGCCTAAGGATCTCTTTAGCTTGTCTGGACCTCCCTGAGTGTATTCCAATCTTTACCTTGCCTTGAAAGTGTCTGAATCTCCCTACCCAAGTCAACCTGCAAGCTTGAAATGCAAAAATGGCAGATGGAGAAGGAGGAGTTACAGTGAAGGGATGATGGTCTGGAACACTTAGATATGATATAGGTTAAGTGTTTAGGGGATTAGAACTTGAAACACACGAGTAGATTTTGAGATTGCCATGCTTGATGCAAAACTGCAAGTTATGGCAGGTTTTTGGTGATAGAGAGTTTGTGAGGGTTTCTGAGCTTTTTCATTCATGTTCTAAGTCATAATTTGTTTGTGTATAAGTATAGAAAAGATTTCAAATCAATTCCACACCAGGCTTCCGAGTTATAGACTTTTTGCTCTATTGCTTGCCTTTTAAGAAAAGTGAGGAGACAACTCTCTACATGCTTGTACAAGCCTGATCTGAGTTGGTACAAGTCTTAGGCACTTTGCTTTTGGTTTATAGGACTTGTGTATGCAGAAGGAACAGGTGCAAAGCTCAAGGAGTTGATAAATGCAAAAGTTGTGCTTTTCTAAAATGGAAATGGCAACTTTGTGCCATTTATGGAATTAAAGCTTGGACAAAGGCTCTCATGCTTGGATTAAAGCTTTATCAACTATGTAAGCATTAAATTATGGAGTGAGAAACAAGTTTGAGACCTGTAAAGCAAGGATTAAATTATGCAGCCTAGGTTTGGATTTGAATTTTAGTTCATCATGAAATGGCTTGAAATCAAAGTGAGAAATTGCCAACTTCATCTCTTCGATTCTCCCTACTCAAAAATGATCTCAAGGAGTTCTGGGACATTTTGGAAAGCTTACAATGTTCTCTATAACTAATATTTGAATTTCTTTTCAATATTCCTCTTGGAACTAGGTGAAAATTTTCCATGAAGTTAGGTCAAAAACCTGCCTAAATTAGGGCAAAATTTCACTAAGTTATTTTAGTTCATGGGCATGTGTTCACAAAATTATATCTTGAGATACAAGCATCTTTAGGAGAAATTGTGTGAAGCAAAGTTGCATATTTCATGGAGATCCACAACTTTTATGTTGGGAACTTTCTTTGAATCATCTTGTATCATGGTGAAAATTTGGCTTAAAGTTGAGAAAAAATAAGAAATTTTCTATACTTAGAAAAATTTCTAAGTTAAGAAATTTCAAATTTCAAAACAAAATCTTCAATCTTTGATTTCTTGATGAACAAGTTTCAAATTTTGATATGTTTTGATGAATTGTGATCCTTGGCATTTGATTTTGACCAAAAAGTCAAAGTTTGACTTTTCAGTATACAGTTGACTTTTGATCAGTTGACTGCAAAATTTATCTGTCAATCCAATGGAATTGCAATGTTTTGAACCATGGCATTAGGTCAAGATGATGTAATTGAACCCTTGAAATCATGCTTCAAATCAATTGGTCATTTGCTAGGTCAAAAATCAGAAATCGCCCTTTCTCAATCAAAACCCTAATTTTGACCATTTTGCCCTTTTGGTGATTTGGTCAAATTTCTTGAGGAATTGTGGTCCAAAATTGATCAAATGATACATGTGAGTCTAAAATGTTGGCGTGGATAAAAAATTATGAAGTTTGACTGTAAACTGGCCATGGTTGACTTTTTCCTCAATACAACTGATTTTTAGGTCAACTGTCCAATTGACTGATCAAAAATATGATTCAAGGCTTGAAACTTGACATGAGTAGTCTTGGGGGTCCATAATGGTACTTGAAATTCATATGAATCATTGATAGTCCAAAAATATTTGTGCAATCCCAAACCCTAATTTTGGATTATCAGTGCATGATGAGATGTCTTGAGTTGATCAAACCCTAATCCAGTCTTGAGTCAAAGAGATCTTGTGAGAAAAGTCTTGATAAATGAAAGGGTAAATTTTGGGGTACAACAAGTTGATTTTCAGTCATCTGAGCAATTGACTGGGCAAATTTGTGATGCAAGGCTTGAAACTTGACATGCACATTGTTGAGGACTTATGATGAACCATGAAAGTCATTTGAGGCCTTTGCAAACCAATCTTCTTTGAGAAGCACCAAAACCCTAGTTATAGACCAATGCTTATGAGGAGATTTGACCAGTCAACTCTTAAGTGACTTTGAGTATTTGAGAACCCTAGAAGAATGTCTTGGACAAAATGGGAGGGCGAATTTTTGGGTATAACACTGCGATATTAAGGTCCCTTATTGTTCTCAATAATGCCTCTAACCTGAAGTTGTGTTGGGATTGTTTTAATAGTAATGAGGACCAGGCTCTTATTCTTCGGGCTACAATTCTTATGCGGTTTGGCATTATTCGTCACCATATTTTTTCGTCTATTTGGAGCGGCATCCGTCCTGAATTTATGTGTTTATCTGCTAATACCTCTTGGGTTCTTGGTGATAACACTAATATTCAGTTTTGGAAGAATGTTTGGTGCGGAATATCTCTCCTAGACAAAGCAGATCCGATGGTTATTGTGGATTACGATATTGATACGTATGCACTAATTTGCAATCTGTTAGTTAATGACAGATGAAATATTCATGCTATTTGGTTCTAAAAAATTGTTATTAATCAATATTAAAATGTAAAAAGACCAAGTGTACACACAAACATAGATGTATAGGTCTATTTATGACCAACACATATTATTTTTTTGTTGAATACTCTGATACCTTTGAATTTAGTTAGATACTGATATCTTCATCCAATTAAATAAAATTATTCATTGTCATATCATCTTTTAAATTATTTTATTTTAAAATAATTAATTTTTTAAATTAATTTGTACTAAAATTACTAGTGCCCAAATACTTATCATAAACACCTAAGAGTTTATCTATTTTTTATGCCTTTTATCTTTGGTGACATGTAGGATGAACCATCAAATAGGTGACTCATTGGCGGACAACTTTTATAATCGGTCAAATTTACTTAAAGGATCTAGACGAGTTAGGAAAAAATTGAAAACACATGTTTTTCCTTAGACAAACCTTCCCATGTTTGTTTTCACGGTAGAATTGTTCTAGAAGCGTTTTTAGTTAAAGTTAGGATTTTTAACTTTTCAAATTCACCAAAAAAATTATAGCAAAGTGATTTTGTAACGTCCGTTTTTTATTCTCAACGTAAAATCAAAAAGCCTATTAATTTAATAACTAAAACAAGTGGTACATATATGAAACACTTAATTGATTCTTCATTCTAGAAGCGAGCTTTATCTTTTTGTTATAACTTTTAATATTTTCAAATCAAATAAAAATTAGCTTAGTTTTTTTTTATAAAAAATATTTAAAATATTTTACTTATTAGTTATAATTTTTTGGATGATAAATTTTTTAACATAAGAAATTATTTTAAATATTATATATTTTAATTTTGTTTTCAAAAAAATAATTTTTATTATGTAAAATATTAAATAAATATTTATTATTTTTTAAATTTCCTAAAAAAAAATCAATAATTTTCTGTATATTCCTATAAGAAAAATGTAAAACAAAAAATTAAAACCATTTTTCCATTCAATGGTATGATGAAAACTGAGAATTTGAAATAAAAAAAAAGGGAAAAGAAGCACTGTACAGTTTTTTTTTTTGACCGGAGCATTGAAAGTGTGAGAAAACTCCCATATAAAGAGAGAAAAAAAAACAAATAAAGTTAGCTTTTTCGTGTGATAGTTGTCAACGCCGCGAGAGCTCGTCTGGTACGAATAGCCGAAACTCGCATCGATTTGTGCTAATTTAATCTGAAAACGACGTTCGTTTTTCACCAATCACAAATCTCCCCCAATTTTTCTTCTGTCTCTCTCTAATTCTTCTTCTAGGTTTAGAGAGAGACGAAGAGATCACCAAAATCCATCGATAAAATCTCATTCTCCTCAAATTTCAACTGATTTTTGACTCAATTGACTCCATGACTTCCTCCAATTCCGATTTGGTTCGTACTATTGAGTCCGTTCTCGGAATTTCTCTCGGCGATTCCGTTTCCGATTCGGTTGTTATTATCGCCACTACCTCCGCCGCCGTCATAATTGGACTTCTGGTGTTTCTGTGGAGGAAATCGTCGGATCGGAGCAGAGAGTTGAGGCCGGTTATAGTTCCGAAGTTTTCCATGAAGGAAGTAGACGATGAGGTCGATGTTGGTCCGGGAAAGACCAAAGTTACTGTGTTCTATGGTACTCAGACTGGTACTGCTGAGGGATTCGCTAAGGTATATCTATCTTTTCGTTTTCTTCATTTTTTTTTTGTTTGAAAATGTATTTTCTCTCTGCTGAAGTATTGTATATAGGTAAGATGGAATCGAATGTGCTGGATCTTTACCTACTGCTTAAATTTAATCTATTATTCTAGAATAAAGGATGTTATTCTTCATGCTGTTGTTTATATAGTTATAATGATCATTTTTTTGTTTTTTTTTTCTTTATTATTCCTGTTTGTGTTTTTTTTTTTTTTTTTGCGAAAAGATTATACTCTCCTTTTAAATGCTTTATTCGCACACAGTTAGCATGCCTTTCAGTTCTTTTGGATTAGATAAGTGAATGTTTGGAATTATACCGAATTTGATGGAATCACGGTGAGGTAAGCTGATGTGCTTTTGCTTGAAGTTACACTTTGGAGCTTCAACAAAGTTAAAATTATGGTGCCATTTTGTCAAACTCATTGTGATTCTAAACTTGCACTAGTCGCTGTTGTGGCCAAATTTATTTTGTGTGAGTTGATTTTGTAAAATTGATTTTATGGTTAAAAGTGATTTACGTTAGGATACATTTATGCGAAAATAGTCAATTTCAATGTAAAAGTCATGTTTAGACTCAAAAGCTACAAATCCTAATTTCAAGTAGAATTGATTTAGAATCAATTCAGAAAACCAAATTAGGTCTACTTTAGAGAAACCAAACATGTCAAAATCAATTTTACACCTTCAGAATCACTTTTTCCTCTTTCAAATTGAAATCAAACAGACACAATTGTTTTCAAATTGCCACCAACTCAGGTTCAGAGAATATGCCATATGAACTTGGATTTGATTTTGTAAAATTTCGACAAAATTGAGTGAAAATGGTAGACCTTACAAATACAATCACAAGCATCTTTACTTTTTTTGCTCAAAATCAAAATTGCAATAATCAAAGTTCCAAACCGTTTTTTATATTTTTTTTAATTTTATTTTTTTAATTTTAAGTGTTTGTCATTCAATTACTTAGCAGTTAGTAGTTTAGGGTTTGATATATTGAAACTTCTGGTTTTCTATTTGTACGGTGAATTTAATGTTTGAGTAGTTATTCGATATGAGAAACTAGTTAAATATAATCAAATACTAGGGATTTATTCTTTTTCTGATTTTAATGCTTTTTGAATTAAACAAAGAACACATGTTTTGTGCCTATTGCCTTGCCATTGAACACAACTTCGTACTTGGCTAGCTGTGAATAATCTGTTTCAGCTACAAATAATTTCAACTTTTGGAAATGTACTGTGCAAAGAGAAATCATTTCCCTTTTTACAGAGTGGTTGAAATATTCAACCCAGGGTACCAACCACCCTCTCCCGACCGGGCATCAGAAATTCATCTTTAAATCTATGGGATGTATAATTACTTTTTAATTTTATATATAGGCATTGGCAGAGGAGATCAAGGCAAGATATGAAAAAGCAGTTGTCAAAGTTGTTGATATGGTAAGTTGGATTAAAATAATGAAATTTTGACAATCCTTCCCCTTGGCTGTAAATTTGTGTGCCATGTCTTTTTGAATATTTGAATTCTCACCAAGGGAGTTCTAGAAGGCATTTGATATTACTTTACTGGATATTTGGTTTTGAAATATTGCTTTGACTAAAGTGTCTGATGTATTTGTTTTGAATTTGAATTTGATTTTGAACTAGGATGACTATGCCATTGATGATGATCAATATGAAGAGAAGCTGAAGAAAGAAACTCTAGTATTTCTCATGCTGGCAACGTAAGATATATGCACATAAATAAAAAAAGAGTAAAATGCATTTGTTAATTAGTTAAAATGTATAGTAATATGATGCATTTGGACTTGTCTTGGCAGTTATGGAGATGGAGAGCCAACTGACAATGCTGCAAGATTCTATAAATGGTTTACCGAGGTTTGTAGTTACATTACACCTCTTTTAAGTAAATTTTTGGGGTTTAAGGTCTCCTGTCTCTCATATTTTCACAATCATATGGTTTACTTAAAATGATTCTAATCTTGGAGGACCTTTATTTTAGGGTAAAGAGGAGAGGGGCACCTGGCTTCAACAGCTCACATATGGAGTTTTTGCCCTAGGTAACAGGCAATATGAACATTTTAATAAGGTAAAAATACACTGTTTTCATATTGTAAAAGGAACAGAGTTTCATCATCTGATTCTGATGTTGTTCTTTTGAAACAGATAGGTAAAATTGTTGATGAAGATCTCACTGAACAAGGTATATTTCATGATTTGTATTTTTCAAAAGTATTAAATTGGTTATCGTCCGCATTATCATTGATTAAAACTGGAGCATGATACAACTTATCATCTCCCATTTGTGCTTAAGATTTTTGTTTTAAGTTCACAAGCCTCTTCTCAAAAATGTTGACATACTTGTGTTAGTACTGTTGTGACCAGAGGAAAGAGGCATTATCAACACTTGTAAGAGAACTGTTTTATAGTTGCAAGAGTGGAACTCTACCCTTGGCAGAGCTAGCAAAACACCCTAGTGCTTTGAAGTTAGATGCATAGCTAGTAAAAGCAGCATGTATCTAATCTAAATAGCAAAACATATATTAAAGACTTAAGAATGGTGTTAAAATAGTGACTGACTTTGGGCTTGCTGCAGGTGCAAAGCGTCTTGTTCCAGTTGGACTAGGTGACGATGATCAATCCATTGAGGATGATTTTAATGCCTGGTTAGTTCTCTTGCTCCTGCTATCCATCTATCTATTATATTGTTCCTAGAAATGTACTATGCAATTGGTGCAGATAACAATTATATGAAACATGTCGGTGCATTTATTCATTTCAAAGTCATGAATTGGCTTTTGCTATGCAGGAAAGAAACTCTGTGGCCTGAGTTGGATCAGTTGCTCCGAGATGAGGATGATGTAAATACCGTATCTACTCCTTATACAGCTGCTATTTCTGAATATCGAGTAGTGATTCATGACCCCACTGTCTCGCCGTCTTATGAGAATCATTTCAATGTGGCAAATGGGGGTGCTGTATTTGATATTCATCATCCTTGCAGGTGCTTGGAGTTATACATACTGATTTTATATCCATTCTCACTAGACATTCTAAAACAAACCTGTTTTCTTTTCTTGAAGGGTGAATGTTGCTGTTCGAAGGGAGCTTCACAAACCTCAGTCTGACCGTTCTTGCATACATTTGGAGTTTGATTTATCAGGAACTGGCGTAACGTAAGTTGGGTTCTGTGTGCTGACAAAGAACCATCTCATATTTTTGTTGTAAACAAGAAAAAAAACAATACCAACGGTTAACTATTATTTTCTTTGACTTCAAATACATTTTGTTAATTTTTTTCTCTGGATATTGGAGTATTATTAAATGGATAAAAATCCTGCTAGGATATGTTGTAGAATGGAATTTTCTATAAGGGCTTTTACATGTCATGCTAAACAAATTATTAATGTTAGCTTTATAGGTAAAAGAGAAATGTAAATGTTCATCAGTTTTCCAATTTCCCCCCTCCCCGCAGTTCACAATTCTCAAGTACTGACCAGGAAAGCTGTTGACGGCTTTTGTCCTGATATTTCCCAGATACGAAACTGGAGACCACGTGGGTGTTTATGCTGAGAACTGTGATGAAACTGTTGAAGAAGCTGGGAAGTTGTTGGGTCAGAATTTAGATTTGCTTTTTTCTCTTCACACCGACAAGGAAGATGGCACTTCCCTAGGTGGTTCTCTTCTACCTCCTTTCCCTGGTCCTTGCACAGTGCGCACTGCATTAGCATGTTATGCAGATCTATTGAACCCCCCACGAAAGGTTTTACATGATTTACATTGCATGTGTTTTCTATTTCTTTTCTTTTCTTGTTAAATACATGATTGGTTTTACTGGTTATAATTGTATGTCCCAATAGAATTTGTCCTTGTTTTATATTTAAAAATGAATAAATAGTTTCAATATTCTTCTTTTTTAGGCTGCTTTAGTTGCATTAGCTGCTCATGCTTCTGAGCCTAGTGAAGCAGAAAGATTGAAGTTTCTCACATCTCCTCAGGGAAAGGTAAACGGAATTGCTACACTAATGTTTCAAGTCTGGAATATTTTTTTCTTCCTGCTTTTAATGATATTTTCAATATTGCCTTCCAGGATGAATACTCCAAATGGGTTGTTGGAAGCCAGAGAAGTCTCCTTGAAGTGATGGCTGATTTTCCATCAGCAAAACCCCCCCTTGGTGTATTTTTTGCTGCCATAGCGCCTCGTTTGCAGCCTCGTTATTATTCTATTTCATCCTCTCCTAGGTTGGTTATCTTATCCTCTTTATCTAACTGAAGCTTTATAACGTAATTGATTGAGAGATAACATTTTTTTTTTCTATTGCCCAGGCTTGCCCCACAAAGGGTACATGTAACTTGTGCTCTGGTCGAAGGTCCAACTCCGACTGGCAGAATTCACAAAGGAGTATGTTCAACCTGGATGAAGGTGACAATTTGCAACTGTTTCACTTCTCCTGCAATCATATGCTTCCTGTTTCAGCATCCTAGACTCTATGTTGTCATGTTTAGGATCCCTTCCTCCCCGTTGGATGCAGTACCCAAACATGCTATTTTTTAACTAACTTAAATCACTCTCATGAATGATCAGAATGCTACTCCCTTGGAGAAAAGTCGTGACTGTAGCTGGGCTCCCATATTTATCAGACCATCAAATTTCAAGCTACCAGCCGATCATTCAATTCCTATTATTATGGTTGGACCTGGTACTGGTTTGGCACCTTTTAGGGGATTTTTACAGGTATGTGAATATTTTAGGGATATGTGTAGTTTTATGATTTTGATAAAACTGGATAGTTAAGATAGTGACAATATGGATTGCAGAGGGGATGAAGGTTAAATTGAAAATGAATGATGGGATAGAAACATTGGTAGTCAAATAGAATCAAAACAGCAAACCAAAATGATGAGTACCTAGTTTTGATTATGTCATGATTAGAAAACTACTTTAGAGTTTGTTTGCTGTGTTGTTATGTTAGCAAAAGTTATACAAATAAATGTAATAGAAGAACTTGCCTTAACTTTTGAAGATATATGAACAAAAGGGTTGTCACATTACATAGCAGCGGAAGCTGAAAATCTCTGTGATGTGAAGCAATAAATTGGTGCTTCTCCTATGAAGCAAAAGTGGACACACACTGTTTTAATCCAAATTTGCCCCTTTTAACCGTTCTATTAGGGTTTGTTTGGATGACAAATTAGCATTGCTGTTCAGGATTTTAATCTCAATTCATATTTTTTAGATTGAAACTAAATTTGATTCAGAAATTATGAATTTTTTGTTTGTGTATATTAAAAATCAAGGCTTAGCATTAGAATTTTAAATTAAACTTTAATTTTGTTGTTTAAATGTAAGATCTAGAATGTATAAATAAAAATATATCTAAATGTCACAATACGAATTTATGCAATAAATTAAACATCTTAAAGTATAATGATATAATTATCATCATATAACAAATAATAATAAAATTGGTAAGCAAATCCTTCTTCCGAACGACATACATAATACAAGTGAAACCAAATTATTACAAACTTCTACTTGTTCTTAATTCCTGTTTGATCTTTGATTTACCCAGGAGAGACTTGCCCTCAAAGAGGATGGTGTTCAACTTGGTCCTGCATTACTCTTCTTTGGATGCAGGAACCGTCAAATGGTAAATTAATTATTAAATGCACTTCGGTCAAAATGGATTTCCTGAACAATGTGTGATTTTGTATTTTTGCTATTTGTATAGGATTTTATTTATGAGGATGAGCTAAATAATTTTGTGGAACAAGGTGCTATATCAGAGTTGATAGTTGCATTCTCTAGAGAGGGGCCTGAAAAGGAGTATGTTCAACACAAAATGATGGATAAAGTAAGTGAGGGTAGTGACTATCGAGGAAGAGACTTCACTGAATAAATTATTTACCACCTCAAATTTCTTATGTGCAGGCAGAATACTTGTGGAGTCTGATTTCTCAGGGTGGTTATCTTTATGTCTGTGGTGATGCCAAGGGCATGGCTAGAGATGTTCATCGAAGTCTTCATACCATTGTCCAGCAGCAGGTGCTGATTGTCTTTCATCATCCCTCCATATTTGCAAAAAACTTATTAGTCCCAACTTCTATCTTTCCTTAACATGCATAAAGAGTATTAATTTGCAAAGTACATAACTAACTAGTATTAGAAAATAAGAGAATTTTCGAAAAGATGCTTGATAATATGGCTAAGTGATATGTATAATATTGCCAAGTGGTGACTAAAATATTACGTTTTGTTGTGGAAACATGACAATGGTTCGTGAACTAGTTTTCAGAAAACAAATACAGTAGTTTCTCTATAGTCGACTACATTTTCAGTATGAAATTGTTAGTCCTTGTGCTTGTGGGCACCAATGCCCTTTTTGGCTTTTAGGTGAATCATGAATTGGTTCAATAGTTTAATGTTTATGTTCTGTTCTTTTGCATTGGGTTTGCTATAATGGGGTATTTAGTATTTTAAATTTGTATGTAAAACTCGAAGATTTTTTTGCCTTGGGTTTACTATCATGGATGTAAATATTTGTCCTTTAGTGTTTGTGATTCATAAGTTAATATTGGGGAGTTTTTTTTTTAATGACTCAATTACTTTGTATTTTTGTTTTTCAATGTCTCAGATACAAAATCACTGTCCTATATGATATTAGTGTATCCTTTAGCATATTCACATGCATATGAGTATTATTACTTCCCTCTTCTTTTCTTGGACTTGAAACTTGAACAGTGAGAGAGGCGGCCTTGCCCTTCTGTTGAACTTGGTCATTATAAGTGTCTACGTTATTGATGTGTTGAGCGTTTTTAGGGATTTAACAATGTCAATTTCCATCTGTAAATTGTTATTGTCTTGTAGAGCATTTAATTTAAGATGTTATGATTTCTCTTGACCAATCCAACTTGTATTTTTGTTTGCAACGGGATGTGCAATCTATACCTAATTTGATGAAACTACATCTGGATTGAATTTCAGGAAAACGCGGACTCTTCAAAGGCAGAGGCTACGGTGAAAAAACTCCAGATGGATGGACGTTACCTAAGGGATGTCTGGTGATTTTCCTGATTGTTCACATGTCTGGGTTGTGGCATGTCCTTGGTATTAGATTTGTTATTTTCAAGATGGCTGAAAGATTTATTTTTTATAGAAGTACTGCTTCTAGGAAATTTTGGGGCACAGAGGGGGGATGCTGAACAAGTTTCCTCGAGAAAAAACTATTTTATGGGCATTTGCCTCTTTCTTTTTTTATCATTTTATATTCTCTTATTGTGATAGGCTAGATCCCTTTGGACTAGGATCATATCTAGGGGATTGTATAATAATAATAATAGTGTAGAAATTGGTTACTAACCAATAGTTATTTTATCAATGAAACTGGGGTATTTTAAAAAAAAAAAGGATCATGGATAACACTAATCTTCCTGTGTTGGAATCCGAGTTTAAAAAATATAGTCCGAGTATAGTGCCTAAGTCTTATTGTTACAATATATGATGTTGAATTTAAGTAGTATGTTGAAGTATTGTCATCTTAAATTTTTGTCTTGTGCTATGAAGAAAGATGTTCCAATCTAGAACTCATGTTTTCGATTGCACCGGTGGACAGTGGATGGATGGTGGATCAGTGGATATTTGATGATGGTGTTTGGTCGGCGTTTCCTTTGGTCCTGATAGAGGAAATTGTACTTAACGCTCAAGTTTGTATGAGCTTGAGATGAGGGCTAGATTTAGAATGAATCGTACTTTGAGAGGTGGTAATGTGAGACTTATGAAGTCTAAAAAAGACAATTTCTTGAGCCGTTTTGAGTTAAACTCTTGAAAATTTAAAAATATTTTTCGGATGTGCATATTTGAACATACAATTTAGTGTGTTTTAAATAAACATTTAAAACCACCTAGCGAATATGAGAATAAATATTTCATATATGCATATATGAAATATTATCTGTTTGTGTCATTTTTGTTTAAACATCATCATTACTACTACCTAATAAACGGATAAATAGAAAATGATACGATTATAACGAAAAATGAAACGGATATAACAATTAGATTAGATATTCATAAATAGGAAAATATAATATATATATAAGTTGTTTAGAAAGTGCGAAATGTCAAATTATTATATTGGTAAAAAAAAAACAAAAAAACATAGGCTATTGTATGTTTAATCCTAACCTCCTGTTGTCGCACTATATGTCTTCCTGTCAATGATCCCTAACTCCAATGTCTCCTGCCAAATCAAGTGTATTCATTGGCAGATCGACAACACATTGGTGACATAGTCATCCTCGACCTGCTGGTTCTTTAAGAGTTCATCATGAGCTGGCTTAGGTGGACGTCTTGGATCATCCAGTATCATGATAAGGGGTGTCACATTAAAGAATCATGTCACGTATTCCTCTACACAGTGTCAACTGCTGGATGTCGGTATGATCTGATATTTTTGTGGCACCAAATGATTCTCACAATCCTGAAAGATACCATTGAGATCCCGATGGATAATCATGTCGAGAGCAGCCTAAAAGGGAAATCTGGGCATCGTCTGCACCGGAAGATACTTGATCATAATGTTAGACCCACATGCAAGCCCTCCAGAGTATAATGAGATTGGAAGGGACAACATCCTTGTAATCTTCGAACGATGTCCATTTGATGTCATCATAATTAGTACGATCAAGATATACCCGGTATAACAACACACCATGATTTCCTCTGTGGAGGATATACTTGGCAGTCCTCGACATGTCCTCGCTATAAGTCAGATCACGCTCGAAACTATAAATGTGGTGGAAGTGAGAGACGATTCATCCCTGAAAAATGAATCATAGATTTTGTAACTATAAATTATTAATAACAAATTAAATGTAATAGTTGAAATGAAAGGTACCGCGAGCAATGTGCAAAAGTCAGTCAGCTGCCTCGTCCTCTAGTTTGAAGCTTCATTCAGTTTTTGGTAGAGGTATATGAAAATGACAGGCTCCCAGTTCCACTCACTAATTAGGATTGAATATACTTTCTAATATTAGGATTTGATTTTTGTCATTTTCATGCTTACTAGATTATAATTTATTTCTTTTTGTCGAGCTACCGACGTAAAACATAACGCTGCGTGGGAGTTAACCCACAATTTTTCTATTTCAGTAATGCCATTTCTATTTTTCCATTCCTATTTTTCAAATTTCATCACCAAGTTTATTTGATTTAATCTTAGTTTATTTGTTTTTTATTTGATTCTTCTAAGGTCAGGTTCACTAAATGGAAGCTAGTAAACTCGGGTTTGGCGTTGTGATTAGAAGGTCCGACGATGACAATAGTAGAAGGCAAGCATTTGTCACGATGACATGCGAGAGAAGTGGAAAATATGTTTTAAAAATTCAGAAGTTAAAACATGATGACACCGGATCGAGAAAATGTGAGTGTCCGTTTAAATTTTTTGGATATTGCAGGGTGGATGATAATTGGTGGTTTAATGTCATTTAAGGTATACATAATTATGCATTGGATACCAAGCTGCAATGTCATCCAATTGTATGTCGGCTTAAGTCGGAGGATAAGGAAATTATTTTAAAAAAATTGATAATCAAAGTTGCATCGAGAAACATACTTGTTGATTTGAAACGGAAAAGACCACAAGGTGTTTCAAATATCAGGCATGTATATAATAAATGTTATTAACTGAACATAAAAGAGGTCTGAGATTCGAAATGCAATAACTTTTGAAATTTTTGGACGATAACCACTATGTTTCAAGGTATAGAGTGTGCGAGAATAAAGTCAATGTTCGTGTCATTTTTTAGGACTCATCCAGAAAGTATCAAGTTATTCAACACATATCCAACCGTCCTTATAATTAATTCAACGTACAAGATCAATAAGTATAAGCTTCCGCTTCTAAAAATTGACATCAGGGTGTCCTTTTCCGGCTACATTAATGGAGTGGACAACACCTTCCGTAAAAGAGACAAACTTGGCCGAATCACTTTTTGAAAAAGATGGCAAATTTCACCAAATTGACGGAGCTTGAGAGAGAATCAAATAAAGAGAAGTCGAAGAAAGAACTGGTTGTAAATTTAAGCGGTGACAATTTATTTGATACATTTTAGAATGCAATCAAACCATCTTTTAAATGTATTGTCGTGCACAATATAAATTCTATACGATTCAATACATATATAATATATCTAATCAATATTTTACTATTGTTTACTTTTAGCGACTTAATTTTTTTTCATGTTTCTATGGTACTGATTATGCTAAAACATAATCTGTTACTAGTTCTGCATATTTCATATATGCTTATCCGAAATAACCTTCATTTAAAAAAAATAAAACAGAGGTTATTTCGGATATGTGATAAGTGAAAATTGTAGCTATTTTTTTATATAAGTTTTTTTGCACTTATCGACACTTTTGTTAATATTTTTTGAATAATTCCCCATTTTGTTTGTAAATACATTTATTTTGCGAATAATTGTGTTTTTATATAAATAGTGTACCGTTTGATAGTTTTGGTCTATTTTGTAGGTATTTGTCGCATATTTGGCACATCGAGGAATAAGGTGTCAAAGGCACAACTCCGGATGCACGTTTCCAGAACAAAAGATCAGTTTTGGGACTTATTGTCCATGAGAGCCCGCTTAGCGCGCAGGAGGCCGCTAAGCGCGAGTGGCGCTCAGTGCATTTTTTAGCGCGCTGCTTGCGTTTACTGTTTTGGCAGAACTAAAGTTTTGAAGTCTGCTTAGTGCGGATAGCGCACTTAGTGCGGTTTAGGTCGGTTTAATGTGTAAATATTGTGCAGCCCGCTTAACGCGCTGACGCCGCTTTGCGCGGTCTGCTGATAATAGTTTTATAAAAATAGATTTTAGTCATTTTCTAGGTTATGATTTTTGGGGTATTTGTTCCCAAATTCTATTACCTTCATTCTTTGATATTTAGAGCTTAGGAAACAACATTTGTGGCTTGCAATTGGATGATCCGAGGTCGGGAGCTTGACGGATCGTGTTGACACCACAAGAAATTTGGTTTTCTCTCATCTTCCTCTCTTTGTAACCATTATTTGTTGGATTTTATATGTAATTTTACCTTGATTATATGTATATTTATTGCTCATGGTATTGTATGAAACTTTCTTTATAAATCTTTATTGATGTTTATCCTTTTTAGCTTGCTAAGGGTTTGGGTTTGAGATGTTGCAGAGATGGACGGATTGAATTTAGACTAAGGATGAATATCTACTAGGCTTAGATTCTAGAGATAGATTTAGGCTTAATAATCATTTAGGTATCGACTCTTAATGCCTCCGTGTTATTTATGTTGTGCTGAGAGATCGTCGACATAGAGTAATACAGTTGATATCTCACTCTGCGTTAGAGATGACCTCTGTGTGAGCGATACGAGATGATATTGATGAGTAGTTAAGGCTAAGTGAAACTGGGTAGTAAGATTAAGTATATGATAGGATAGACTAAATACAAACTCAAGAGTTCTTTACTAATCGAAGAATGAAATTCTTTTTATGTCTATAACTTTTAATTCATGCACCTTACAAATAAACTCATTTTTTTCCCAAATTCATAAACGCGAGAAATTGTCGAACGACAATTCAATAATCAATCTCTGTGGACACGATAAATTCCCGGATAAATATTTTTGAAATTTTTGTTGCTTGTCGCTTTACTGCTGCAACAAAATGGCCCGTTGTCGGGGATTGGTTCTATTATTTCGCACTGCGATAGTTTCTTTGTTTTTTAGTTTTGTAATTAATGTATATGTTGTATAGAATTTTTACATAAACTTGTCTATTCTTACTTGTACATGTTTTGTGTTTGCTTTCCATACTTGTGCATAAATGTGTTTTTTTTCTTTGTTTTCACGTATTGTTTTGAATTGTCTCATTTTTGTAACGTTTGTTGTGTGGATGTTAGGATGCTTTCTTTAGGTTTATGCGATGTGACAATACCATGGCATGACGAGAGGAGGTTACTAGCTCGCACAATAAAGGTTTCGAGCTTACACATAAAACAAGCATGTTGTATTTTTTATATTATTTATATTCG